CTATTATTCCAGTTAGTCATTTGGTGTTGGTTTTCTTGTGGAAGTATCATAAAAAGTTATAATTCACAGTTTACCCATTACAAGAAGACAACTGGAGAATTGTGCAAATAATACTGGGTTTTCCTTTTGAATAAGAAAATTTAGATTTTAAGTGTTCCAAAGCAAAAATCCAGAGTACCATTGGCAGTAATTCAATAAGCACATCTTTTCCTTCCCCTTAAATCTACTAAGTGCCACTGAATTGTGTTACAATATGTTTGATGCAATTGTGTTACAATGTTTGATGTATGGAAAGCATAGTCTAGTCCAGGGTAGGCAACCCAAAACACTCAAAAAGCCACTTGGACTCATTTCCCACCGAAAACAAAACACTGGGAGCCGCAAAACCCTTTTGACATCTAAAATGAAGATAAACTGCATATATCCTTTTTTACCTTTATTTAGGTATATATATATATATAGTAGAAATAACAAATGTAAAAATAACAAATGAATTCAAACACCAGGATAAGGTTATAAACACAACTGTTTAATATGCAAGAGTACTTAGCTTTCGTCGGCCAAACTGCCGACATTGTCAGAATATAAAAACCAGGATTTGGGAGTTCACTTATATCACTGGCTGCCTCTGCGCCCAGCTCCTCGATCGGGTCATTGGTCCGCTCATTATCACCGATCATGTTGTGCTTAAAGGGCCCGCACTTAATGCGTGAGGGCAGCAGTAGGACTGGCGAGCGGGAGAATGACGCTGGAGACGTGCACCGTCAATAACTTCATGACGGAGGCACAGGCGCACCCTGTGACAGGTATGGGGGGAGGATGGGCGAGAGTGACCTGACAGCCAACCCCTGGATGCTCGTATGCGCACCAGGGGAATAACGACGACTGAGGGTGGGAGAGCAGCCTCGGAAGCTGCCAACACATTGACAAGTGCGGGCCCTTTAAGAACAACACGATCGGTGATAATGAGCGGACCAATGACCTGATTGAGAAGCAGGGCGCAGAGGCAGCCAGTGATATAAGTGAACTCCCAAATCCTGGTTTTTATACTCTGACGATGTTGGCAGTTTGGCCGACGAAAGCTAAGTACTCTTGCATATTAAACAGTTGTGTTTATAACCTTATCCTGGTGTTCAAATTCATTTGTTATTTTTACATTTGTTATTTCTACTGTATGGCTAAACCCAGTATTCGTATTTTTAATATAATTAGGAACAACATATATATAT